AACAAAGATAACTCTGAAAAGGAAATCAAGAAAACAATATCATTTACAATAACCAACCAAGAGATGAAATATTTAGGAATAAATCTAACCAGAGACACAATATATATATATACAAAGAAAACAAAGAACACTACTATAGAAACCAAAAGAGACCTACATTTATGGAAGAATATACCATAATTGTGGACAGGAAGGCTTAATGTTGTGAAAATGTCAATACTATACAAAACAATCTACACATACAATACAATCCCAATCTAAATTCCATAATCATTCTTTAAAAAGATGGAAAAACAAATCATCAAGTTTAAGTGGAAAGAAAAGAGACCAGCATAATAAAGCACTACTAAAAACTAAAGTATGAAGCCTCACACTCCCTAGTTTCAAACCTGTGTAGTTACACAGCCATGATAGTCAAAACACCTTGGTATTGGTTCAACGATAGATAAATAGATCAATTAAGCTGAACTGAGAACCCAGAAGCAAATCCATCTATCTGTGGTCAGCTGATCTTTGACAAGTGACAAACCCAGTAAATGAGAAAGAGGTAGTATCTTTAACAAGTGGTGCTGCTAAAACTAGATATTCATTCACCAAAAGGTGAAACAGGATCCATTTCTCACACCATATACAAAAACTAATTCAAAATGGATCAAAGACCTAAATGTAAAACCAGAAACTATAAGGAACATCAAAGAAATAACAAGGACAAACTTAGGGGCCCTAATACACAGCATAAATGCACCATCAACCATGACTAAACTGTACAAACTAGCTGAAGACAAACTAGATGAGTGGGACTTCCTAAAAATTAAGCATCTATATCCATCAAAAGATTTCACCAAACAAGTAAAAAGAGAACCTTGGAAAATTTTTTGACAAAGGCATATCAGACGAGGGACTAATCTCTAAAATTTATTTTAAAAAACTTAAACATCTCAATGACAAAAAGACAAACTATCCAACAAAAAATGGGCAGAGAACATGAACAGACACCTCACCAAAGAAGACATTAAGACAACCAACAAACATATGCAGAGATGCTTATGATCATTAGTCATTAGAGAGATGCAAATGAAAACAATAATAACATATTGTCTCACCCTAGCATTAATGGAAAAGTTAAAAAAAAAAAAAAAAAACAGAAAACAACAAATGTTAGTGACAGTGTGGAGAGAGTGACACCTTTGTACACTGCTGGTGGAATTATAAAATGGTGCATCTACTGTGGAAAATGGTATGGCATTTCCTTCAAAAGTTGGAAATAGTAATACCATCTGATCCAGCAATCCCATAATTAGATATATATCTTAAAGAAGTGAGCACTGGGATACAAATATATTCACACCTATGTTCATTACAGCACTATTCACAATAACAAATAGATGGAAACAAGTGTCCATCAACAGATGAATGGATAAACAAGCTATGATGCATACATACAAAGGAATATGACACATTAAAGAAAAACGGTGAATTTGTGAAACACCTCATAGCATATTTGAACCTGGAAAATATTATGCTGAGTGAAATTCATCAATCACAAAAAGACAAATATTAGATGAGACCATTATTATAAAAAGTAAAAAAAAAAAATGTTATCATACTGAAAGACACATTCTTTGATGATTACCTGGGGTGGGAGAGAAATGGAGAGTAAACCACCAAGTAGACGTTAGACACATATTAACTTGGTTGAAACAGGAAACAATAAAATTGTATGTAGTGATCAGGCAAATGAAGACACTGGGAGGCACACAAAGAATTAAAGGCAACAGAGGTAAATACTATTACATATATTATCCTGCAATAACAGTGATAACAATAATCTAAGGGTGGATACATAGGTAGACATGCAAGCTGAACAGATGTGGAAAGACAAAGGATACTATACTCATGAATATATATATAGATTTGACAGAGCATATCTCTATATATCCACCAGCCGCTACTTGGAAGGAAGATGGGGCAATCTACTTCCACAGTGATACCGCTTCCGAAACCCAAGGAGGGGTCACTATGAATCAGGTCTGACTCAATGGCACATAACAACAAACAACAACAACAATCTCTACATATGTATTCACATGTGCTGCAAATGTATCCATGAATATAGTAGAGCATACAGGGGGCAAAGTTATGAAAACTTCTTGTCCATAACTAAACCCTCTTAAGGGGATTAGTCACTGGGCCTGCAGGCTCAGGGCTATAATCTCAACTGATATGAAGGTCAATTGACACAACATAATCCACAAAGAAAATGTTCTACTTTAGTGAGTAGTGACTGGGTTCTTAAAAGCTTCTGAATGGCTATTTAAGATATAGATCTCTCCTTGTCCAGAGCAAAGAAGAGTGAAGAAAATCAAAGTTGCATAGGAACAATTAGTTCAAAAAGACTGATGGACTTTGCAAACCCAGCCTCCACCACCCTGAAACCAGAAGAACTAGATTGTTCCTGGTTTCTACTACTGACTGCTCTGAAAGGAATCACAGAAAGTCCTGAGTAGAGTGGGAGAAAAATGTGGAAGAATCTCAAAAAAAAAAAAAAAAACCCTCAAAAAACAGGCTCAGGTAGGACAGAGAGTTTTGGAAGACTGAGTGTATGACTCTTAGTCACTCTCCAAGCCCAGAACTGAATTCATTCCAATGGCTCAACTTTCAGCCGAATAGATCTATGAAGTGAACAGTTACACCAGGGAGGTAAAAACTCCTTAAAAAAATCAACCATATGAGATTAAAAGAACAGCATTTGCCTAGAGAAAAAGTTCAAAAGGCAGGAAGGGATAGGAAGGAAGGACAAATAGAAACGGAAACTTGGGGAGGAAATGGGATGAGTGATCTTACATTGGGTGGATTGCCATCAATATCATGAATCAAAATGTATATAAATTCTTGAATGGAAAACTGATTTTCTCAGTAAACTTTCACTCAAATAGCAATAACATTTTTAAACAAATTAATATAACTGAAAAAATCACAAATTTTGGGAAGTACAATTACTATATAATTTACTGTATAAATTTAAAAAATCAATCTCAACTTTCAGAGTTCAGAAGGATGTATTTAATTGTCTTCAAACATGACTAGTAGCAGTTTACTTATGTCTTTTCTGTTTCTTCAATGAATTGTCCCTTTGTTTTCCAGGCTCTTTACTCTTATTATTCTTGCCTTTCATGACACTTATCACAGTTTAATCATATGTATCTGAGTATGCTTGTTTGTGTAAAATGTTTCCCTTCTATTAGGTCGTGAATTCCAGTGGTGAAGGATGTGTATCTACTGTATCTGTGTCTATAATGCTTAGCACATTATCTAGCATAAAATTATTCAATAAATATTGAATAAATGAATGAATGAAAAGAGCAAGGCCAAGACATTCAGTTCAGTCCTATTAATAATGAAACCTACATCACATATGCTACACCTTGTGTTGAAATAGGTGGTTGGTAACAATAATTGAATTACAAGGAATAGGGGCTGCAGTAAGAGATGGAGTTTTGAAGGGAAGCTACCCCAGATGGTCTGGAATTGTATGATCCAAGACAAATTTTGCTAAATAAAGACTAAGAGAAAAATAATGGGAGACATGAGGGCAAAAACCAAGTCCAAAAATCCAAGCACACAGCCAAAAGTTAAAGTTAGGAGATAAGGGTACAAGTGAGAGCAGGTTAGGAACAAAGCACTTTTGGGTTTTGAGATAGCTGCAATGTTTGTGATGGGCCTGAAAATAAGCTCAGATAAGTATCTGCATCTGCCCTCTTCTGATCTCAGTAGTTTCTTTCCAAATCTTTTCTGATAAATAATTTTCTGGGTCATGTGCAGTTGTATTACTACCTTTTTTACAGTAGCATCCTGTCTTCATCTTCATGCACAAAAAAGAAGTCTTCAATAAAAACCCAAAAAAACAAACACTGCCATCGAGTTTGTTTCAACTCAATAACGCATATTAAATTATGTATTATAAAGTAATAGTACTTTCATGTAGTAAAAAGTAATCTAGCTTTTCCCATGGAATCGACCAATGGGATATTTCACAACTTGAGGGTGACCTTTTTTTAATCCCCTTAAGTACGCAGATATTTATTTATACTTTTAAGCGTCAGTCTTTCTTAAAAAGGAGTTTTCCTAAACAGTAGATTTGATCTTTTGACATGTGAAGAAAGAAGCACTATGAAATCATGAATTCCAAGGCTACGTAAAACCTTTGGGTTCACTGACGTTTGCAAATGGCACCCAGGGGCAAGGCACATATTGTGAGGTACATAACTAAATATTGACTTAAAGAAGTAGGAACATTGTGGAGTGTCTTCTCAACATCATAAACTAAATCAGCGTTAGAATTCTTAACCTGGTCTCTACCCTCAGGACTCTATTCCTTTTCTTTCTAAAGATCATATTACTCTTTATCCTCTTTGCTTTATTAAATTACAATGGTATTCTATTCCCATCCCTATTTTCTTCTAAAATCAATACTTATTATATGTCACTTAGTGTTGCCATTCCCCAACTTAGTGCTGTTAGCCCCCACACAAATTTTATTATCACACTTACCATGTAGTTTACCTGTAATCAATTTTTCTATTAAAGTTAATAATCTAAGCACACATTTTTTCAGAGTTATGATTCTATTTTCAATCCATATGATATTTGTCATAGCTTTGTGATTTGAAATTTTCTTAGAAGCTTAATCAAATATGCAACAAAGCCTTAAGTTATCATTCTGAATTGTTGTTGTTGTTGTTATGTGCCGTCGAGTCAGACCCGACTCATAGCGACCCCTCCTTGGGTTTCCGAGACAGTATCACTATGGAAGTAGATTGCCCAGCCTTCCTTCTGAGTAGTGTCTAGTGGCTTTCAACCACCAGCCTTCTGGTTAGCAGTCACATGCCTTAGGCACTACGCTACCAGATTCTGAATATATAACAAAAATTATTTTTAAAGAAGTTTGTGACTATAAATGGTACTCTGCACTAACATACCTTTTCTTTATTTTAATACAGTCTGTTTATGGTTTACAAAATGATATTAGAAGCCACAGCCCTACCCACACACCAACACCAGAAACTAAGCCTCCAACAGAAGATGAGTTACACCAACAGGTAGGTCAAACTTTAAAATAACTTGTTAATAAAGGTTTATAGAGTGACTGCTATAAAGACCTAATGGTTAATGTTAATAGTGAGTACTTGAAAGTTTATTTGTATTGTTTATTGTTTCATGAAGAAAATTTATAGTTACTTATAATGAAATTGTCTAGTTTTAAAAAGCGTAGTCATTTGAAAATATATCAACACATGGCAGTGGTTTTCAAAGCTCTTCACTCTTAAATTCCAAAATCATTTCTCTCTAACCAAATTTTTAAAATTGCATACACTGATTTAGAGGTGCCTCCATTACTAACAGCTGTTTTCTGCTCCTGTTCTCTGTATTAAAGGAGGAGAGTAGAAGAACTTGCGACTTTGATTTATACATTTGCCACATCCACTGATATGGCATAATCTTACCCCAAACAGAGTTTACTCTTATTTCTCAAGTTCTGACCTCTATAAACTTCTTAAAGCTTCCCCTTATTGACATTACTATACAATCATGGTATATATTGCTTCTCTTTCTACTAGTGATTAATATTTGTGATTCCAAGTAACATTTCAAAACAAAAGCCAGTGTGTCTTATATCAAATAATAATTAAATACATTGGTTGGTTGAATCATGAGGGTCTGTTCCCTTTTGACACTTATCTCCTACTATTTTATGTAGCATGATTTATAAACAGTGTAATACATACTGTTCTTATATATTTATAATCACTATTAATGAAAAGTAAGGAGTCTGGTGGTATAGTGGTTAAGGTATTTTGCTGCTAACCAAAAGATTGTTGGTTCAAGCCCACCAGCTGCTCCATGGAAGAAAGATGAGGCAGTCTGATTTCGTTAAGATTTACAGCCTTGGAAACCCAGTGGGGGTCACTATAAGTTGGAATCAACTCAATAGCAGTGAGTTTGGTTTGGTTTGGTTTTTTGGATGATGGATAAGTAGTTCAGAGAGTTTTTAATTGAAGTTTATCCAAGTGTGATTATGTCCATGTGAAGGTTTCATGTGATATGTTGAGAGAATTAACACATATCATTGATGTTTTGTTGAAGTATTACTAGGAGGTAGAATTTATTTTAAAATTATAATAGCAGATAACAGGGAATCTGTTTTCTGAACTAAATATTTTAGAGAGAATGGAATGTTTACCATCCATAAAACTTTTAAAATAAAGTTACAGTTTGTTGAAGTAGGCAGTTTGTTCAAACCTGTTGCTGTTGTAAAGTGATATTGATCCCCTTTAATTCAACCTGATTTTACTTTTTTGTTAACACTTTCAAAGCCCTCTGCTTTAATTTTTTTTACTGACTTTGAATTTTTAATGACTAAGGAAGTGGCATATGATCTAGAACCAATGGTAATGAAGGAAGAAGTCAAAGCTGCAATGAAAGAACTGGCGAAGAACAAGGCTCCGGGAATTGATGGCATACCGATTGAGATATTTCAACAAACAGATGCCCCATTGGAGGCACTCACTCAGTTATGCCAAGAGATTTGGACGACAGCTACCTGGCCAACTGACTGGAAGAGATCCATATTGGTGCTCATTCCAAAGAAAGGTGATCCCACAGAATGTAGAAATTATAGAACAATATCATTAATATCACATGCAAGTAAGATCTTACTGAAGATAATTCAGAAATGTTTGCATCAGTATATTCATAGAGAACTTCCAGAGGTTCAAGCGGGATTCAGAAGAGGACGTGGAACAAGGGATATCATAGCTGTTGTCAGATGGATCTTGGCTCAAGGCAAAGAATACCAGAAAGATGTTTACTTGTGTTTTATTGACTATGCAAAGGCATTTGATTGTGTGGATCATGACAACTTATGAATGACATTGAGAAGAATGGGAATTCCTGAGCACTTGATTGTACTCATGAGGAATCTGTACCTTGACCAGGAGGCTGTCGTTCGAACAGAACAAGGGGACACTACATGGTTTAAAATCAAGAAGGGAGTGCGTCAGGGTTGTATTCTTTCTCCACACTTATTCAATCTATATGCTGAGCAAATAATCCGAGAAGCTGGACTATATGAAGAAAAACGTGGTATCAGGATTGGAGGAAGAATCATTAACAACCTGAGATATGCAGACGATACAACTTTGCTTGCTGAAAGTGAGGATGACTTAAGGCACCTACTGATGAAGGTTGAAGAATACAGTCTGCAGTATGGATTACATCTCAACATAAAGAAAACAAAAATCCTCACAACTGGACCAATGAGCAGCATCACAATAAATGGAGAGAAGATTGAGGTTGTCAAGGAATTCACGTTGCTTGGTTCTACAATCGATGCCAACGGAAGCAGCAGTCAGGACATTAGACGACGTGTAGCATTGGGAAAGTCAACTGCGAAGGAACTGTTTCAAGTGCTGAGGAGCAAGGATATCTCATTGAGGACTAAGGTGCACCTGACACAAGCCATGATATTTCCAATCACCTCGTATGCATGTGAGAGCTGGACAATGAATAAGGAAGACCGAAGAAGGGTTGATGCTTTTGAGTTGTGGTGCTGGCAAAGAATGCTGAAAGTACCATGGACTGCTAAAAGAACTAACAGATCTGTCCTGAAGGAAGTGCAGCCAGAATGCTCCTTGGAAGCAAGAATGTCCAGACTTCGTCTCACCTATTTTGGTCATGTTGTAAGAAGGAACCATTCCCTGGAGAAGGATGTCATGCTTGGTAGGGTGGAGGGTCAATGAAGGAGGGGGAGGCCTTCAAGGAGATGGATTGATACGGTGGCTGCGATGATGGGCTCAAGTATAGCAGGGATTGTGGGGCTGGCGCGGGATCGGGCAGTGTTTTGTTCTGCTGTGCATGGGGTCGCTATGGGTCGGAAATGACTCAATGGCACTTAACAACAACAACAACAAAAATATGTCCAGTCTGTCAGAATTTAGAGATGGAAGTTGTGAAAATGTCATTATTTATGTATCTCCTTCTATATCTTTCTTTCCAGATAAAATATTGGCAAATACAGTTAGATAGACATCGATTAAAAATGTCAAAGGTTGCTGATAGGTAAGTATTTCAAGATATCCATATAAATATTAAATTTCATATGACAATGACATGTGTCAAAAGTGGTAAGAAAGTGTGGGAAGAGGGGCAGAGACAAATATCAGAATGATCCTTATTGTCTTAAATCCCTAGAGGTCCCATCCTTGTGCAGCCAGAATCAGATACAGAGGTTATTTCCAAGGAGATGAGTATTTTCGCTCATGCTGGAAGAAAAGAAACTTTTAATTTACTGGTTACCTTTTTTGGCAATGTGGATCCTCTTTGTAAATTTCTCTGAGCATCCCCACAACTCACTTATTGCTTGACTTCAGAATTAGTATTAGTAATTCAGGGATATTTCCCCCCCACCCCATTTAAATCTGTTCTTAAGGCCACTCATATTCTTCAGCTTTGGGCATTGATTGCCAAACTCTTACTCTCCAACTTCCTTCTCTTTTGATTTTTTTCTTTTTTCTTTTTTAAGCATAGATTTTTTAAAAGGATGTATTTTGTAGGTAATTCTCATTTTACATAATCCTTGTAAATACTTGTACATTTTTTTCCCCCTTCCTTCTCCTAGTTGGCTACAATCAATTCAATTGTGAATGAACTGGCTAACTAAGGATTGGAGTTGACCCTTAGCACTGCCCTTAATTGACCTTTGCTTCATATTAATAGAGGTATATTGACTCATTTGGCCTAGTCATGAGGAGCGATGAAATCTTTAACTTCATGTTTGCCAAGAAGCACAATGATACATATAACTTGTTGGAATGTGAAAACAGCCATTGAATTCATTCTCTAAGTGAACCAGAATTCCTTGGCCAAATACTTTTCCCTTGTGTCTCTTTACTTTGGACTGTGTTTAACCTAAGCCAGAAAACTAAGGAAAATGGAAATGTTTTTTCTCCCTAGTCTACTAAGTTATACGGAACAATATTTAGAATATGACCCATTTCTTGTGCCACCTGACCCTTCTAACCCATGGCTGTCTGATGATACTACTTTCTGGGAACTTGAAGCAAGGTAGGTGGCATTTTTCTTTCTTTCCCAAATATATGTATCAGTTTATTTCAGACTAAGTGAAATAGGAAGACTCCTATAGCTAATTAATTGTGAAAAGTAGTTTTATCCTTCATGTACTTTGGTCCATGATATAAAATTCTTACTCAAGATAATGTTTTTTGGATCTTAGACATTTGCCTTGAAATTTGCATTGCTGGGAAGATTGACATACAATCAAAAGTGCAAGGGTTTTCAAGATGGACTAGTCAGAGTTGGGAATCTTTAATTCTTTAAATTTAGCTCATAGCTTTTAGCTCCCTTAAAAATCCACATAACCAAAAGTCCATGTTTTAAAAGCAAAATGAATACTAAATTCATACTTACTTAAGCCCAATAGAAGTATGTTTTAATAAATTAAATTTTAAAGCAAAACAAATTTACCATAAATGCTCTAAAAGAAACTGACAAGAGATTGGTCTCTTGAAACAGTCAAAACATAATTTAGAATTCCCTCTTTGCTTTCATGCCCTACATAGGGAAGAATTATATCAACATTGATAGATTCTTAAAATGTCCATTGCATATCACATTACCAAGTGAGGATTTAGTGCTGTACTGCACTTCTCTAGATTACATGTATGGACCTTAGTTTCTACTAAAGAGTCCCTGTTTGCAAATGGCTAATACCTCTACCAACTAACTAAAATATTGGCTTTTATAATGCACCTAATAGTGCCTCAGAAGGAATACCTGGCAATGACCTACTTCTGAATAATCAGCCATTGAAAACCCTATGGAGCACAGTTCTACTCTGACACACATGAGGTTACCATGAGTCAGAATGGACTCAATGGCAACTGGTTGTGGTGATTTCTTTAAATAGCCAATAGTTCTTAAACACTTGGCAAGTCCAGAATACTTCATTTCATAATTTATAAATTCTATAGATGAGGAAGCTGAAACCACATACTTTTGTGACTGAGCCAAGATTAGGTCATACATCTAATTGATAACAGAGTCAATGGCTGAGGATTTAGGCCTCTTGTTCCCCAATGCATACCCCCATCTCCACCCCATATAGCATACAACCACAAGACTGAATTGTATAATTGTTGAGAATTTAGGCTCTGGGGTCAGCGTGTCTGATCATTGATCCTTATTACCTCTCTGACATTGTCAAGTTATAACCCTCTTTTTCCTTCTGTTTCTTCATCTTTAAAATAGAAATGATAATGGTGGTACCTATCATAAAATTGTTGAAAAAACTTAATGAGATCATTCATGTAGAACACTTGGCACATGATTCTCAAAATATGCTAGACTTCATTACTAATGCCTCCCTATATTTTCATGCAGAGTCATCAGAGATTATTTTTCCTTTTTAAGAAATATAAATTAAAGATGAGAACATCAAAACATATATGATTTTGAGAGGAAATTTAATAACAGGAAATAGGAATTGTAATGAAAAGGATTTATTTTGTTTTGTTTTATCTCCTGTAGCAAAGAACCAAGCCAGCAGAGGGTAAAACGATGGGGTTTTGGTATGGATGAAGCTTTGAAAGACCCAGTTGGGAGAGAGCAGTTCCTTAAATTTCTAGAGTCAGAATTCAGCTCAGAAAACTTGAGGTAAGACATGGTGTTTGGGCCTTCCACTGTAAACTAAAGAGAAACTATCTGTGATGTGTCTCATTATTTGAGACTTTATAATACTGTTACTCGCCTACTAGCATCAAGGTAGGAGCTCTGGTAGCATAGTGCCTAAAGCACTTGACTGCTAACCAGGAGGCTGGCAGTTCAAATCCACCAGTCACTCCTCAGAAGGAAGGTTGGGCAATCTACTTCCGTAGTGACACTGCCTCGGAAACCCAAGAAGGGTCGCTATGAGTGGGGTCTGATTCCAAGGCACATAACAACAACAACAACAACAAGCATCAAGATAATGACATAAACCTGTTAAAATTCTTCCAAATGACAGAGGCAAAGAAGATAACCAAAGCAAAGAAGCTCCTATCTAACATTATAGTTACTTATAATGGTTTATTTTGACATAGTTCCTAGTGTTGTCTCTTGATCTTTTGAGCTATATAAATTTGGGACATTTTAAATGGACTCTAGGAGCTCTGGTGGCATAGTGCTTAAGGCATTTGACTACTAACCAGAAGACTGGTGGTTCAAACCCACCAGCCACTCCTCGGAAGGAAGATTGGGTAGCCTACTTCCATAGTGATACTGCCTCAGAAACCCAAGGAGGGGTCGCTGTGAATCAAATTGACTTGATGGCAGTGAGTTTGGTTTGGTCTTTGTTTTTAAATGGACTCTACACAGAACTACAATATTCAGACCAGTGTTTGACAAAGTAGAGAATGGCCAATATTATCTGTGGAGTTACAATATCATCTATTTATCTATAAAGAATTCTGGTGGCACAGTGGTTAAACCATTCTGCTGCTAACCAAAAGGTCAGCAGTTAGAATCCACCAGTTGCTCCATGGGAGAAAGATGAGACAGTCTGCTTCCATAAAGGCTTACAGCCTTAGAAACCCTATGGAACAGTTCTACTCTGTCCTAAAGGGTTACTATGAGTCAGAATCAACTCAGTGGTAGTAGGTTTGGTTTTTTGGTTTCATTTATCTGTATTGGCCTTATTTGTATATTACCTCTCAAGTAAGGTAGGAAAAAGGACATTGGGTGACTATTTAACTTGGGGCAAAGTTATTGGGTCACTCACCTTACTTTTGCACATTTAAGTACAGGTGATATACAGTTGAGAGTAGGGGCACATTGACCTGTTAGCAAGCAAGTGCACCCATTCTGTGCATCTACTGTAAACATCATTCTCATTTGGTTTTAAAATTTGTATAACTTAAAACACACCTGGAAATTGCATTTTAAATGTGAAACATTGGAATGAATCTTAGTGGCTTTGTCCAAGATCATGGAAGTGAATGATAACTTTCCACAGCATAACACTGTTTTTCCATGAGCTCCTTAATTCTTTATTTTTTTGAAACCTGAATACCCTATTTCACTTTTGTATGACTTTGCAATCCTGTGAAATTCATTTACTGAAAAGCCTCACATTAGTTTATTTTCATTGGAACCCCAGATGATGTCACATTTTTTTTTTTCTGGAGATTTAATAGACACTGATACTAAATCACTGAGAAATACATAGAATTTTGACAGATGTCTCATGGAGTAAGAAGGATGACCTTAGACAGAACCTGAAGACATTTAATTATATATATGTACTTGCCATGGATCTTGAGGAAGCAGCTTCCTGTTCTCTTTGAAGTTTATGGGAACCCTTCTTGACAGAGTTTTCACAAGATCTACAGTCACTAAAGTTTTTCACTGACCTAAATAAAATTAAAATAAAATAACATGTATTTGAAGTCATATCATCAATTATTGAGGGCAAGAATGTCTAAAAATAAAGGAGAGATAATGGATATTTTAGCATTTTATTGAATAAGTGGTAGACTTTTCTCTAATTCTCTTTAAGTTTTTGAAAAATGCTGGCATTATGGGTATCATGATGAAGAAATACACAAATAATGATCCTCACCAGCATCACTTAACTGAATAAAATCTAACCAAATAAAAATGTCTTCTGATCTCATTGTCATTATAGTCTGGTGGTAAATACAGACACAAAAGCAGATCATCACAATCAAAATGATAGGTATTTAAAATAGGAGAAATACAGAGGGATACCTAATCCATAGCTGAGTGTTAAGCAAAGGCATCCTAAGGGAAATGGCTTCTAGGCTGAGACCTGGATAATGAGAAGGAAGTAACCAGTCAAAAGAAAGGAAGTGGGAAGAAGCTTTTGGTCAATGAGAGTATCATGTGAAAACTGGGTTTCATGAATTAATTCCTTGCCACACTAGTCTCCATACTTTCATATATATAAAATATTACATATATACTCATAAACCCATTGCTGTTGAATCTATTTTGATTCTACCAAACCTATAGGACAGAGTAGAACTGTCCCATGGGGTTTCCAAGGCTGTAAACCTTTATAGACGCAGACTACCACATCTTTCTCCTATGGAGCAGCTGGTGGGTTTATAGATAGATAGCTTATAGATGGATGGATAGATGGATGATTGGATAGATGAATAGACAAATACATACATACAGAGATATAATTCTTGAACACCTACCTTATGGCATAATATGTTTTATATCTACTACTTATATAAGTATTCTGTGCTGTATTTTGTATTCATTTTTTCCAATGATCATACATACAATCATCACAGCAAACATGAAAATAAATACTATTGCCCCATTTTATAGATAAGGAAAATATATCTGAGGGAAATTAGTCAACTTGTCCAACATCAGCTTGCTAGTAAGTGGCATTCCAGGTTTTCTATAAACCAGACCCAAGCTACTTTCTATTACTCCCCGAGTCTGACCCCAGCTGCTTCTTCCTAGGTATCTAGTGTCACAGACTGAGGAAGGAAGAATGGTTGTTACCTAGCAGGGCTGAGAGTTGCATTTAATGAATTATCTAAGCAACACAGCTTTAGGCACTCTTGTTGGGAGTGTGCCACTCATATGAGCATTTTCTTCAAGTATTATGACAAAGAGAAAAGCCAAGAAACCTTGCTTATTAATAACTACTTATTCCTCAAATATACACTCTTCTCTCTGGTTGGCGTGTTTTTGTTCATTGCTTTTTCAGTCAAAGTACCTCTCATTTTGTTGTTAGGTGCCGTCAAGTCAGTTCCAATTCATAGTGATCCTGTGTACAAGAGAATAAAACACTGCCCAGTCTTACACCATCATCATAATTGTAGCTATGCTTGAGCCCGTTGTTGCAGCCATTAGGTCAATCTGTCTCATCGAGGATCTTCCTCTTTTTCACTGACCCTCTATTCTACCAAGTATGTTCTTCTCCAGAGACTTGTCCCTCTTGATCACAAATACGTGAGATGTAGTCTTACCATCCTCACTTCTAAGGACCATTCTAGACATGCTTCTTCCAAGAAAAATTTGTTCATTCTTCTGGCAGTCTATAGAAAATTCAGTATTCTTCACAAACACTGTAATTCAAAGGTATCAAATCTTCTTCCATCTTCCTTATACATTGTTTAGCTTTAGCATGCATATGAGGCAATTCAAAATACTGTGGTTTGGGTCAGGCCCACCTTAGCTCTCGGGGTGACATCTTTGCTTTCTAACACTTTAAAGAGGTATTTTGCAGCAAATTTGCCTAATGTAATATGTCATTTGAGTTCTGGAGTACTGTGTCCATGGGTGTTGATTGTGGATCCAAGTAAAATGAAATTTTTGATAACTTCAATATTTTCTCTGTTTATCATGATGTTGCATATTGGTCCACTGATCATCTGTCACCTAGCATATACCAAAACAAACCCAGTGCCATCAAGTTAATTCCTACTCATAGGACTTAACTTGTAGAAAAGAGTAGAACTGTGCCATAGGGTTTCCAAGACTATAAATCTTCACAGAAACAGACTTTCTCATCTTTCTTTTGTGGAACAGCTGGTGGGGTCATCAAATTGCTGACCATTTGGTGATATCATGAGATTCATTATTGAGTGCCTATAATTACATCGGGTACTTACAGTGCCTTTTACGTAATTTGTTTCATTTATTCCTATGAAAACCCAATGATATAGGCATTATTATCCCATTTTACTGATGTGGAAATTGAGGCTGAAAGACATTAAGACATTTCCCCAAATTTCAACTACTTAAGAAAGGAGGTGGGATTTCAACTTTTGCCATTCTACTAAATTATTAAATGTGTGCAGTAATGGTGAGGATATGGAAGGCAATGATACTGCTAGGGAGGCAGTGCAAGGCAGGGTTTAGGAATGAATGTCACCTGCTACAGATTACCTGAGTACAAACTCCAGGTATGACACTAAAAACTGAACAATACTTAAAAAGCTACATCAACTTCATTTCCTCAATTTCTTCTTCTCTAATATGGGGGCAGTAATATCACCTACTTTTTAAAGCTATTGTAGGGATTACATGATTTGATATAGGTAAGGTACTTACAACAATGCCGGTACCCAGTTACTATTACTACCATGTTAACGCCTTGAGAAGGTCGTCATATGTCATTCCATATCATTGTATCTGTAGTAGGTTTCCTAAGATCCTGTCTGCAAACAACACTCACTCCCTTAGAAAGCTATCCTGCTTGCATTCCCAGACTGTCTAGTTGGCTCTGCTTATAGAGGGTTTTGTATGTCTCCTTGTATTTTGGTCATTTGAGTGACATATCTTTTCTTTAATAGTTCTTTGAGGACAGGAATTTTGTGGATTGCCCTGTGTAATGAACTTGAATGAACATTAATTACAACAATCATGCTACCTCAGTTTGCACATGAGAGTCTCATTATAGTGCACAATTTCTAATTCTGTGTTTTAGAAGAAACAATGTAGAATCTTCCGTTCTTAAAGTAATAATGGTTGTTGTTATTAGGAGTCATCTCCAACTCATAGCGACCCTATGTATACAGCAGAACAAAACACTACCCAGTCTTGTGCCAGCCTCAGAATCCTTGTTATACATGAGCCCATTGTTGTCACCGCTGTGTCTATCCATCTTGTTGAGGACCTTCATCTTCTTCGTTGACCCTCCACTTTACTAAGCATGATAGTCTCCAAGGAATGGTTCCTTCTGACAACATGACCAAAGTAGGTGAGATGAAGTCTGACCATTCTGGCTTCCAAGGAGCATTCTGGCTACACTTCTTCCATGATAGATTTGTTAGTCCTTTGAGCAGACCATGGTACTCTTAGCATTCTTCTCCAGTACCACAACTCAAAAACATCAACTCTTCTTCAGTCTTCCTTATTCATTGTCCACCTCTCACATGCATAAGAGGTGATTGAAAATACCATGGCTTGGGTTAGAAGCACCTAAGCCTTCGAGAAGACATCTTTGCTCTTCATCACTTGAAAGAGATCTTTTGCAGCAGACTTGCCTGATGCAATATGTCTTCTGATGTCTTGACTACTATTTCCATTGGTGTTGATTGTAGAACCAAGTAGCATGAAATCCTTGACAAATTCAATCTTTTCTCCATCCACTGTGAAGCTGTTTATTAAACCAGTTGTGAGGATTATTGTTTTCTTTATATTGAGATGTAATCCATACTGCAAACTATAGTCTTTAATTTTCATCAGTAAGTGCTTCAAGTCATCCTCACTTACAGCAAGCAAAGTTGTGTCATCTGTGTATCACAGGTTGTTAATAAGTCTTCCTCCAATCCTGGTGCCATGTTCTTCTTCATATAATCCAGTTTCTCGGATTATTTGCTCAGCATACAAGTTGAATAAGTCTGGTGAAAGGATTCAATCTTGACACACTCCCTTCTTGATTTTGAACAGTGCAGTATTCCCTTGTTCTGTTCAAATAACAACCTCCTAATGTATGCACAGGTTCCCCCTGAGTACAATCAAGTATTCTGGAATTCCAATTCTTCTCAGCATTATCTGTAATTTGTTATGATCCACACAATCGAATGCTTTTGCATAGTCAATAAAACATAAGTACACATCTTTCTGATATTCTTTGCTTTTAGCTAGATCCATCTGACATCAGCAACTATGTCTCTTGTTCCATATCCTCTTCTGAATACAGCTTGCATTTCTGGAAGCTCTCTGTCAATATACTGCTGCAAACATTTTTGAATTGTCTTCAGTAAGATTTTACTTGCATGTGATATTTAATGATATTGTCTGATAATTTCCATATTCTGTGAGATCACCTTTCTTTGGAATGGGTACAGATATGGATCTCTTCCAATCAGTTGGGCAGGTAGCTGATTTCCAAATCTCTGGGCACAACCAAGTGAATGCCTCCAGTGGGACATCCATTTGTTGAAACATCTCAATGGGTATGTCCACGTGTAGAGTTGTTGCTTATGTTGTTGAAAAAATATATTTGCAATGAATATGTTGGTCTTCCAAAATTCTATCTTATACTCTCTAGCATTATTTCTGTCACCAAGGCCATATTTTCCAACTACCAGTAATTCTTCTTTGTTTCCAACTTTTGCATTCCAGACACCAGTGATAATCAACACATCTTGATTGCATATTCAGTCAATTTCAGGCTGCAGAAGTTGGTAGAAATCTTCAATTTTCTCATCTTTGGCTTTGGTAGTTAGTGCATATATTTGAATAATTTTAGTATTGACTGGTCTTCCTCGCAAGCATATGGATATTATCCTATCACTGACAGCATTGTACTTCAGGACAGATCTTGAAATAGTCTTTGTGATGATGAATGCCACACCATTCCTCTTCAGTTTATCATTCCCAGCGTAGTAGATCATATGGTTGCCTGATTCAAAATGGCTAAAACCAGTCCATTTCAGCTCACTAATGCTTAGGATATCAATCTTTATGAATTCCATTTCATTTTTGACAACTTCCAATTTTCCTAGATTCATACTTCATACATTCCGTGTTCCAATTATTAATGGATGTTTGTATCTGTTTCTATTTATTTTGAGTCATGCTACATCCACCAATGGAGATCCTGAAAGCTTTGAGGTCATCTCTACTTTTAGGAGTCAGCTCTTCCCCAGTCAAATTTTGAGTGCCTTCTGACCTGATGGTCTCATCTTCCACCACTATGTTGGACAATGTTTCAGGACTATTCATAAAGTTTTCCAGTAATATATCAGTGTTTCACTGCTATTCATAAGGTTTGCACTGGCCAATTCTTTGAGAAGTGGATGGCCTCTTCCTTCTTCCTAATCTGTCTTAGAGTGGACGCTTGGCTGAAACCTGTCCACCATCACCATGGGTAACCCTACTGCCATTTTGCAACACCAGTGGCATAGCCTCCAGCCTCACAGCAACACGGAAGCCACCACAGGATGACAAATTGACAGACAAGTTCATCTCCCTTAATTGTTCCTAACCCCTCTGCACCTGCCTACCTTGGGCAACAGCCTTAAAATAGAGCTGCCTCCAAGTGAGAAGCAGCCCTCAGCCCTTGGCCCACCTACTTCAGGCCCCAGCCTTGATATAGAGCCACCCCCAAGTGGAAAGCAGGCTCAAGCCCTGGGCCTTCCTAGCTCAGGTCCCAGCCTTAATAAAGAGCTGCCCCCGAGGGAAAAGCAGCCTCCAAGTAATAACAGTAGTTTCATGTTTAAGGTATTCTCCAAGTAGGATCATCTTCTGTTACATATATATATATATAAACAATATTTGAAAACTGAGAAATCACCAGACTGCACAGTATTTGATATTCTAATTCTAGCTTAATTGCTTAATTACTGATTTCTGACTTTTCATTAATTCTTGAGTTAAAATTTAGTAGTTATTACGAAACTGTTTTGTCACCTTGGGCCTCTCTTAAGTCTTTGTAGCCTACACTTGCCTTTCACTCTGTGGGCATCTTTCACTCTGGGGGCATCTGTGGGTACCGTATCCACCATTAGAATGATAATGGTGTCTGTTTAGGATAACTTAGACATAGCAAAACCAGTTGCTGTTATAGCGACTCTGATTCATGGTGACGCTGTGTTTGTCAGAGTATAACTGTGCTTCATTGGATTTTCATAAAAACCAAACCAAACACACTGCCATTGGGTTGTATCTGATTCATATGACCCCTCCTTGTGTTTCTGAGGCGGTATCACTACAGAAGTAGATTGCCCAACCAACCAAGGAATGGCTGGTGGGTTTGAACTGCCAGCCTTCTGGTTAGCAGTCAGATGCCTTAGGCAATACACTACCAGAGCTCCTAGGATTTTCAAGCATGGTTTCTTTTTCTATTCCTAAAGTCTTATGATAAACATATTTATCTTTTCAATATAATTTCTAGGTCTAACCAGAAAAATTAACACATAGCAAAATTTAAAGAAATGTAACCCATGAATATAAGGTGGCATCTTCTTATTAGACTTTGCTATTATCAACCAAAACATGCCCTGATGGTTTTTCCAAGTAAATCAGTACATATTTTTTTTTCAATATTTTATAAATTACCATGGTTCCTCTTCAAATTTAAGTCTTCCAAATAATTGTATTTGAAAGCCTGGTGTTTTGTCATTCTCTACCTCTTGGATTAAGTAGCCTAAAATTAGTTACTTGTCCTTATTTTGCCTGCTAAGGCCTTGACTGATCTTGTGCCCAGGGCTCTGCCCAGTTCAGTAAGGCTTAATTTTAAGTCCCCTGCCAAGTAGAACAGAAAAGCCTTTCCACACTAACTCTCGTTGCTCAAATGAACCAGAAATCCAAAGACTCAGGTATAATGCTTTACTTTATTGTGCAGTCAGATACTCATCACTAACCCTTAATGGCCTTCAAATCCCCCTTCCTTCCTAATGAATGGTCCTTTGTCAGCACAATTTTGCTTCAGTAAAACTAAGGCTGTATGAGTCCAGTTCTCTGACAGATCTGCTTTTAACAACAAACAATTATTTAATATTTCCATATGAATTTTATACTTTTGAATACAACTAATGAAAAAAAAAGTAAAGGCCTGATATTGGAAGCCCGCAGAGAAAGTGAGTTCATTATTATGTATCATTGTGAATTGTGGTATGGATAAAAATGACCAGCATGTTGAGATGGTTATCTAGTGGAGTAAAATGCTTGGTGTCACATTTTGCACAGATTCTGGCTAGCAGTGGAAGACCTGAAGAAAAGACCAATTAGAGAAGTCCCTTCCCGAGTACAGGAAATATGGCAAGAATTTCTGGCTCCGGGAGCCCCCAGTGCCATTAACCTCGACTCTAAGAGTTATGACAAAACCACACAGAATGTGAAGGAACCTGGACGTTACACATTTGAAGATGCTCAGGTCAGTACACAGGAGGTCCTTCCATATATCACAGATATGCTCCTGAGACATTGACAGTTGAGAAACTTTATTTTTATTTTCACTTTAAATTGGCAGCTATTTCTAATATTTTAAATCTAGATAAATATATTTAAAACAACTCTAATTGATCTAGAAGAGAGCAAGATACTTTAAAGTGAATATTTTTTTTTAAGTCTGGGCATGTATTTTTACATCAGAATTTCTTGAAGAGGTGTATTTGAAAATTTTTACTTCATTTTCTTCTCTGTCATTTAACATGTGAGCAAATGCTTACCTAATGATGACCCACCTCAGTTATACATATTTGAAACCTTTAAGGTGTCTTCTATTATGTAGATTCTAAAATTAAAAAATTCTCTCATTCCTAAATTATTCATTATTATGAATTTTATGAACTGAATTTGCTTAAAATTATGTCAAACTCAAACCAACTTTGTCTCATGTCATAAAACTAAATAGTGGAATCAGAGATTTATTCATTTCCCAAGTTACTCTACCAAAATAAAAATATAGAAGGAAATTGATTTTAATATCCCATAACAAATGTTTAGTGTTCTTTTCTCAAACTGAACCTTAATTGCCTTCTTATAAATTATTTGAATTTCTGCTTTCTCTTAAAAAAAAAAAAAAAGGATTTCAAGAAGAAAAATAAGTAATAAGGGGATATTACTTCCTAATGGTGCACATTTCATAATTGGTTAAGCTTCTTTTAGATACATATATTAGCTCTAAAAATATCTTGTTTCTTGATAACATTACTTAAATAATATTTAGAAATCAAAGAATGAGATGCACAAATGTTTTTCCATATTTTTACTTAGTAGAAAATGCATTTCTCCTTGGCTTTAGTTTAAAGTAAAGAGATATTTTAGTTAAGGAACCTAACATTGATTTAAACAGCTATACCAGACATCCCTGCCCTGAAGCTCTATCCTGATCTCCCACATGGAAATAATTGCATTCCACAGAGACACATGGATGGCCAGGGCGCAAGATGAAAATTCCAGCCCTGCTATTCACTTCTCTGCTCATTTATCTTTCTTTTTGGTTCAAAATAAAATTTCAAGCATTTTTCTAGAGCCAACAATATGTGAAATGTTTGGAATGACCTTCCTGAATTTTAAAAGAGAATATTTCTTTGTTACCTGTGTCATTGAAAAGTATTCTTGCTCAATAGGACGTTCAATTAAATGAAAATGAATATTTTTTCACACAAAACATTATCAGCAGACCCTCAGATTAGTTTTCTTGGGGTGTTTTATTAGTCTTAGATACATACCTCCAATTTTTAATGGAGTTTTTCCCCTATCTTCAAAGATATATTAATAGATTTTTTTTTTTTTGCGTGTGTGGCCTGGATTTTTTTTTAATTTTTTATTGTGATTTGGGTGAAAAACTTTCTATCAGTTTTGAGATATAATGTTTAAGAAAGGTGATTCTGTATCCAGATTGCCTAGATTTTATCTAGACTCAGCGGTGCAACTGCCTGCAAGTAATTTACTTTTCCATTCCTCCATCTCTTTATGTTTAAAATGGATATAATAAAGGGTGCCTACTTCAATGATCATTAATTGAGGAAATAATCTGAGAAGTTGGATTATATAAGAAAAATATGGCGTCAGGGTTGGAGGAAGACTTATTAACAACCTGCGATATGCAGATGACACAACCTTGCTTGCTGAAAGTGAAGATGACTTGAAGCACTTACTGGTAAAGATCAAAGACTACAGTCTTCAGTATGGATTACACCTCAACATAAAGGAAACAAAAATCCTCACAACTGGCCCAACAAACAACATCACAATAAGTGGAGAAAAGATTGAAGTTATCATGGATTTCATTTTACTTGGATCCACAATCAACACCCATGGAACAGCAGTCAAGAATTCAGATGTCATATTGCATAGGGCAAATCTGCTGCAAAAGACCTCTTAAAATGTAGAAGAGCAAGGATATCACTTTGAAGACTAAAGTATGCCTAACCCAAACTATATTTTCAGTTGCCTCATATGCATGTGAAAGCTGGTGAATGAATAAGAAAGGTGGAGGAAAAACTGATGGCTTTAAATTGTGGTGTTGGCAAAGAATACGGAAAATACCAAGAAGAAATGCCAGAAGAGTGAACAAATCTGCTCTGGAATAAGTGCAGCCAAAATGCTCCTTGGAAGCTAGAATGACCAGCCTTCGTCTCACCTACTTTGGTCATGTTGTCAGAAGGGACCAGTCCCTGGAGAAGGATATCATGCTTGGTAAAGTGGAGGGTCAGTGAAAAAGGGAGACGATCCTCAAGAGATGAACTGACACAGTGGCTGTAAGATGGGCTCAAGTATAAAAAGGATTGTGAGGATGGCACAGAACTGGGCAGTGTTTTTTTTCTGTTGTACATGTTGAACATAGTGTTGCTATGAGTTGGAATCTACTCGATGGCACCTAACAGCAACAATAACAAGCTGCAGGAGAATTTCTTTAGATTGATTCCAGACTGAATTGGATGAATGAATTTATTCTTTGCCTGACCTCTTTGTCTACCAATATTAAAACATTACAGACTGATTTCAGGTAAATGGTTAAATATTTACCTGATTTACCATTAAAAGAAAAGAGCTCTGGTGACTTTTTACTAAAAGTGTCAGAAAAAAAAAAAAAAAAAAACAGAGATGTAGTAATTACATATCACAAAATTTATTTTCAGACTTGTCCTATGCGTCAAAATGGATGTGGATGATAATTTTCCATATAATTTGCACAAAAGAGATGATTCACATGATCAGTCTGCATCCTCAAAATACCTGTACTCATGATACCCAGGATTAAATTTATAAGCTAGCAGAGATTTATTTATGTTCTCTTACAATCTGTATAAATCAACAACTTGATTTGAAATGACTTCATGACATCCCATTAAACAAATTCCTTTTTTTTTGACTGGATATGATTTACCTTCCCTGTAGCTCCCAGATCAAATTAAGCACTGATCCATGAATAGAATAATGAATTTGAAGGTCTAAATGTTCTATAATAAACCAAATACACTGCAGTTGAGTCAGACCTGACTCATAGTGACCCCTCCTTGTATTTCCGAGGCAGTATCACTACGAAAGATTGCCAAACCTTCCTTCTGAGGAGTGGCGGGTGGGTTTAAACTACCAGCCTTCTGGTTAGTAGTCAAATGCCTTAGGCACTATGCTACCATCATTAGCATTGTCATTTTAATTTTCACCTGCTGCTAGATTTGTTCTTCAATTGCATGTGGTATTCTTCTCATAGCATTTGGTTTTTTCCTGAGAAATAATAAAGAAGCATCTCAACTATTATTTCTTTTTAGGAGCACATTTACAAACTTATGAAAAGTGATTCCTACCCACGTTTTATAAGATCCAGTGCCTATCAGGAGCTTCTACAGGCAAAGAAAAAGGTATTAGTTTGTTCTGCCCTTTTTTGACCTATTATTAAGTGATAATTATTTGGAGTAGTTAGCTCTGCTGGGCCCAGGGTGTTGGTCAAATGGTAAGTGAACATATTACAAGCCCCTTCCCCAAGCCTTTGTTTTTTGTGGGGGCCTTGTGAGGGCCATTTAAATTTGTTTTCTGTTTTTTAATTGCTTATTTTATTTTATTTTATTTGGTTTTGTTTGTTTCTGCAAATGTTCATGCATTCCAAAGTTTATTAGAAGCTATTTTTATGTTTCATGTGTGCTTTCTGTATGCCTATTTTAAGGAAATCAAAAATTGCAACAAAGAAAGAGAAAGAGCAGTAGCAATAGATCAAAACTTAAAGAAAGGTTACTTTATTCAGTAAAATAGAACGTATATTTGGGTCACAGACCCCATAACTATAAAATAGATTCACTTTTTTTCCAGTGATAGTAGCCAAAATTTAACAATCTTTACTCTTGAATATTTTCCTTTGGCATTTATCCTGAATCACTTATTATCTCTACTATGAATGTTACACACCTAAGATGGTAGACAAGCACATTGTGGACAGAGTTTCAGTAGAACACATTATTCAATTAATGTTTATAATCAGTCTCACTGCTTATAATGCCTTTTGCAAGAAATATAACAGTGTGGACATCTAGATTTAAGCATCAACATCACTCGTTATTAATTTTTAAATGTTAACATAGTCAATAGCTCCTTGGAATTCAGAGATAAGATAATTTTCTACAATTCATTTAGGCTAAGTGAGATCTTTCAAGGTCTGTTCCTTTGCAACTAGAAATAGACCATAATTGCACTGTCCAATAGAGTGATCAGTAGCCACATACCAATTTTTAAATTTAAATTAATTAAAATTACACAAAATTCTTGCCAAATTTCAAGGGCTCTGTAGCCACAGGCAGAAGCCACTGGACACATAGAATTCCTTTTCCAGCCTTTAAGAAAGTTCTATTGGACAGTGATGTTTTCTGGAATCACAGGAAATTTTCAACAGGATTTTAGCTCTGATAGAAAATTAGGAGGAAATTCTAAAAAGATACCACTATGTATTCAAATATTTAGACTTTGCAAATGTCAATACGAAAACTTCACAAGAAGAATTTTTTGGTACTAAAAATAAAAGCACTAATGAAAAGAGAGCCCATGTCTTGTGACAAGAAACCTTCCTCAGCAGCCTACCTTCCTGGGCCTTGAAATTTAGAACATAGATTTGGAGTTGCATCATTTTATCATCCTGTCTTTTTCTGCTCTGTTCTTCTTGTTTTCTTTTTTTATGTTCCCTTATTTCCCTTCACCCACCCAACCCCCACCTCACACATGTAAGTCTGGACCCTCAATGGATTGCAGAACATCTTTTGAGAAATTTGCACAGAATGTGGTAAGTTTTCTCTTTTGAGGAGTTACAAATCATTAATTCTAGTGAAATCATCCCAATTTCAAACCCCTTCGTCCACCTGGCATCCTTTCAGGTTGATGTAACAGCAAAGTTATTGCCTTTATTCAAATTCAGACTTTCATGCTTTGTATTATATTATCTTTCTGTTCTACCCTTTCTAAAATAGATGAAGATGTCACACTTGAAAGACTACATGTATAGGTCTAAAGTTTGAAAGAAGTGTATATTTATGATATA